AAAAATAAAAAATTTTGGAAAATCACCTTCACGATAAAAATAATGCATAAAGGAGAAAGGTAAAAGAAATAATTTTAGAAATGCAGCCACAAGTTCCAGATATTAAAGACTTTGAAGGGATGGTAAGCATGATCTCATCCTTCTATGTCAAGCATGATTTCATCCAATTTTAAACAAAGAAAACTTGTTATATCTGAATCTGTAAAGTTTAAATTATTTTCAGAATGAGATGGATTAGTCAGTATCAATCAGAAACAAAGAAACATATCAAAACGTATCAGCTTTAGTATTTTCAAATACCTAAACTTAATAGAAATAGACTACTATAAATATAGACTGTTTTTTGTTAACTATACTTGATTAATGAGAAGAAGATAGTTGATTTTATATATGGTTCAAGAATAATAATCAAAGATGATTAATAAAAACACTCTAATAAATAAACCTTCCTAATCAATACTTTATTTCTGCTGTTCAATTTCGATACAATAATCTCTCTGTAAAACAAGAATGTAGTCAAAGCCTTAGGTATGATAATCTAGAGAGAAAATAGTGATAAGAAATGTAAAGATAAGTAAAGAATATAGAAATCAAGGGATTTCTGAAGAAGAACTCAAATAATCTGTTACACTTCACTAATATCTGTTCTGTTCATTAAATAATAGCATAAGAGTCTTAAAGAAGTAGCTTAAATAATGTAAAAAAGAAGATAAGAAATTGAATTACATTGTGGTAACTATTAAAATTTATCATGATTTAGTCTGAACACCAGAATTCACTTTTGTGGTTACTATCCTAACTCAAAAATTTCCCCAAACCATTCAGTTAAATATTTATCCCTTTCTGATTATTTCAAATCCACACTTATATATACCACGACTTATATGTGTTTTAAAAATTGAAATTTTAATTGCTACTTTTCCCTTACGAAAGAATAATTCTTGTTAGGTTTCTCTATATTATATTTGATTTAATTAATTTATTTTGAAATGCCATTAAGGGTTTTAAATTAATATCAAAAAATTCATAGAAA